AGAGAAATGGATGTGTCTTCCTAGTATTTGCCCTATCCAAAATACCATTACGATCACAGCCAGTGTGCACCGCCCCCTGGAAATGTCTATTTCAGATATGTATTAGTAATCTCTGCTGGGACTCCGAAGCTTAAAAAATAACCCTTAATATAACTAATCCTTTCATATGGGACCACATACAATGTCTCTACAGTATACCTCAAGATGAGAGTTATAGAAGTTTGAGTGAGGTCATTATCACATCTATTGTTTCTGTGTATGGCTTTTTTCCACACCAGAAAGTGACCTATAAGACCAAGCGGCCTGTGGTCGACCTGCGGACCATCGCAGAGGTGGAGGGAGCCGGAGTGAAAGGAGGAAAACACGCAGAGTGGAGAGAGCAGATCATCGTCCCTCCTCTTCCTCAGTCAGCACTGGCCGGCTGCAGCCTCATACACATCGACTACTTCATTCAGGTCAGTGTGTGTGTCTTTAACATATTGATATGTGCTTTATTTTCACAGTACTGTTCTTAAGAGTGTCAATATTCCTGTTTCTAACGCCATTAAACATGTGATAATATAATTCAGATAATACCATATGAAACTATGCATACATTTAGCCACATTTCACATGAGCTATCAAAGACTATTATTTGTTCCTTTCTAACTTAACCTGAACAACTGTGTAGGGATTTTGATATTTACTTGTCTTTATCTAATACTGAAATAATTGGGTTTACTTGAAAGGTGTTATTCACTATTTTCTTATTGTCCTAATATCCCGTCAACAACCCAACAATGCATGACTTAATCTCTCAAAACTCCCAACTTCCATAGCCTGAGGTTATTGTTTTCAAATGTCATTAAAAAGCTGTAAATATTGGTCTTGATGGGGACTACTTTCAGCAGCGGATCCATACTCATTTGAGGATGTAGTGAGTATTTACAGCTGCAGGACTGCATGTGGGGCTGAGTAACAATAAACAACAGTGTGTGTGTTCATGGTAATAAAGGAACATGTCACCCAGAGCAACAGTGTGGCTCACTGAAGTGTTTCTATTAGTGTAAGGTCAACAATGGAGCTCTCAGAGGAAGAAGAAACTGTCTATCCCACTTTAGCTACAAACACACCTTGTGTTAGCAGAATCAATTCTCTGTTGGTTTTGGTGATCTCATGCGATTCATTGGCAATAAGAGGCATATAGAATATCACCAATCTTATCTGGTTGTATAGTTTAATATCTAATTGAGGCTTTTATAATTCCTGTTTTATACAGGTGTCGCTCAAATCTCCGGACGCAGTGGTCACTCTGCCTATCTACATCGGGAACATCGCTGTGAACTTGTCTCCATCGAGACCCATGCCCCCCACTCCGGACCACCGCATTGCTCCCAACGCTCCCAGCGCGGCGGGCGTGACCCCCAGCGCCCCACCGGTGGAGGAGCTAGAGGAGGGGATGTGTGCAGGGGGCGTGGCCAGTGAGGCGCTCCCCACCAAGAGTCACTCTCAGCAGGACCCCTCGGGGCAGCCGGTCACTATGTCCCCCAGCGCCTTCAGCCAAGCCCCCGGGGTAGCGCTGCCTCCCGGCCTCAGGCCCGACGCCTCCGCCCCTCTGTTCTGTGTGTCCACCGGGGCCACCATACCTTTCTTCACCGAGGGAAACGTGACTCCTGTCCCCACCTCCTGCTCGCTCATCCTCCCTCCAGAGTACAGCAGCTGGGACTACCCTCATGGTGAGTTCTTCTAAAAGACTTTCACTCTGGCACACAGACAAACACATGCAAAGTGAAGCAGATGCAAAAATGATCATCCCCATTCTCAAAATCCAAGGTGATGTCCAGCCAAAATTAAAGTGAATGTACCATTTAGTACAGTTAGTATAGAATATGGCAGGAAAATCTGTGGAAAATGCTTAAACGTTTCAAATAAACAAATAAAATAAATCCTATATGAAAAATGCAACAACTTAATAGGGTTATTTTACTAGTTATTATTGGAACAGAGGCTAGGAGAATGTGCGCTGCTCTAACTTTATTAATGACTTCTTATTTGTGTTGCCCGTGTGTGTTACAGAGCCCCCACCCACCTATGAGGAAAGCTGTAGTAGCGCCAACTCCACTTTCAACAGTATACAGTAAGAGAAGGTGATGAAGCATCATGGCCACGCCCCCCCACACCTATTTCCATTCGCCTCTCGAGAAATCGGGACAGAGACACGTCGGGTTAGAGAGGACGGACGATAACTCCACTCCTGAGAATATTTCTTTGTCCTCGAATAAGAAAAAAAAAAGGGATAACATCTTATATGATATAAGTTTTAATTTCAATTCTTGTCTCATCAGGTAGTGTCAGTTAGAGCGGGTGAACATCACTATGCCTACAAGAAGTATTTTGGACCATCATTTAGAATATTCAGTGATTGGACATGTTTCTTTTAGGGGCGGAGTCAAATCTGTTTTTGTTTTCTCAATGAACTTTCGCATCTGTGATGCCTTGATAAGATCTCTGCCTACTGAAGGCTCGGGTTTGGCCTTTTTTTTGTCTTGTTTTAACTGTGCACTTGTTATAGTGGTCCACCGCTGTCCGTTTGTAACTCAGTTGTCCTCATCTTCACCAGGGCAGAGCTGTCGTCATGCTGGACATTGAGAGGACATTTTCACCGTGTTTGTCTAGTTGGACTAGTTAAACCCCTACTTAAATTATTCTGATGGTCTTTGTTTGAGGAAATATGAGACAGCACTTTCCAAAATCGGTCTATGTTTTCTGTAGCAGCATGCACTACTGTCTGCTGCAGTGTCTTTTTGAATATTATGCCACTAGAATACAGATAGGGGCGTTAATGTCTCAGCAAAACCTCTCAGCTGTGTAACTTGAAACACAGTTAGTAATACATATGATTATTATTATTATTATTATATATTATAATCATTTTTAAAAATAGCTTTTAGATGAGTTCAAAGACATATATCATCTCTCAAACACCACCATGCGTTGAGTCATATAACTGTGAGGTTTTGCTTTGACTTCAGTTTTGTATTCTGAGGACAGTGTCTCTGCAGATGAGGCTCGTTTCTCCTGCAGCTGGACATGAGGTCACAGTGTTTGTCTGCCCTCTTGTGGTCATCTCTGGTATAGTTGCCATACTGAAACTTGAGCCAAACAATCAGCCATGCATAGAGAAAATCTCCACTAAGGTCCCTGCTCCTGTGATGCCACAACTGAAGTCAGTCGGCTGTGTAAATCTACATCCTTTTGTGAGAAAGTGGAAAAATCGAGTTTTGAGATTTTAGTTTTTTTAGATGTGATGCAAGTGTATAGCATCATCATTTTCGTCTTGGTGTGAATGAGATTTTATGTTGTTTTTTCTCATGTTTGTTGCCTTAACTTTCTTTTTAGTGTTACTTGTGTGAGATGAGAATCCTCCGAAATGTCAGTTTGTGCAGATGTGCACAAAACAGCACTTTTTACAGATTTCCAAGTGCAAATCTACTGTATACATGTGTACAAAAAGAACTTTTATGGCTACAGTCTGTTTTCAATTAAACTTACATTTTCAAATTGATTTGTGGTTTTACCACCTGTATCTGTTAGAGACACTTTTTATTTGCCTGTGTACAATGCAGGGTGATAATGTTATCACTTCACAAATGTCCTTTAATTTAGTTTAATTACAGGTGTTTTGTTTTGCACATACAAAGAGTTTGATCCATAACAGGGGAACACAATTCATTTAATATCTGATTTTGCAGAACCTATACTTATTTATATGCATATAATAATTTGAAAAGTATCATCCCCCTACTGTAAGCATCAGCACATTTTCAGTGTCACCTTCCTGTGGGAAACTAATACAACAGAAAATCACAAGCACAACTACTGTCCTGAATGTCAGTGACTTTTAATGTGTACTTTACCAAATCCATTCTGTGAATTATGAAAAAGAAATCAAAGTGCTAACGTTGGACCCTGACTGCGGATCATTTTAACATTGATTGTGTTTTTACATATCGGCACAAAAGACTGCTGTAACTGTTGTGAAAGCAGGCTCTACATTAATGTAAATGCATGCCTTAAACCAACTGGACTCCCGCCACCTCTTACAGGAGCTTGTGCCGTACTTTCTTCTTCTTGTCTTTCATGGAGGACGGCAGGATGTGCTTGAGAACTCTTCCTGTTTTGTCTCCACGAGTGCTCTTGATGTACACAAATGTAGCTTTTAAAAAAACAGCCAGCACGTCTGAGCTTAGACCTGAAAACTGTCTTGTTTTTCAAAATGACTGCAACTCCTCTCATCTCAAAGACAACAGCAGCAGCAACTCTCGCGCTGCCTTTATCGATCCTGATTCTGTTTAATTCTTCGCCACCAAAAGGTACTATAGCTTTATGATGCCCAACTTGTTCTGTGTTTGTTTTTTTCTTTTCCCCCCTCACATATTGATGAGCGGTGTCTGGTTTTGTATTTTTCTACTTGTTAAACTGTTTACAGGTGTGTATGCAGATATTAATAGTAGCACCTCAATCAGTTAATGTAAAATATCAACATGCAGTGCAAGAATCAACGTTGTACTGTGAAGTATGACAATAAAAATATATGAAGTGTTTGTGGTTTGTTTTGTGTGGACAAAGTGAGCTCTGTGGTTCTGTAATTGGGATTCTTCCAAAACTAATTTAACAAACAAGGCAATAAAGCTTTATTAAATAAGAGCTGCTCTTTTGTATTAAAAAAAGAATCCTGTGACATGTTCTCTGTTGTCCTATAATCTGCATATATGTACCAAAAGGCAGTTACAATAGTGACCAAAATAAAAAAATATTGCTGGGATAAGGATCCCTATCCCCTAACATCATCCATTTTCATAGAAACCACAGAGCGATATTTTTGTATTAACCAGACAGACCAGTATTAGCTTATAGTACAAGTTATACAACGAGAGTAGACGAAAGGCTACGAATGGCTTCGGCTACCTCCGCCAATCACATGATCCCAGTATGGAAAACACGAAATGCGCATGCGTGGCATCCCAAATATGTTCATCTGCTACTCCCATTCCTCGTCGAATGCTAGCTAAACAGCGATTAAGGTGCAACTAATAGGCATTTATACCCAACGTGGTCGATGCTTACGATAGTATTTTAGTTTCGGGATACTTTAATGGCATGAGTCGTTATTTTAAATGTATTTGTATCGCCATTTGAGTCCGAATTCTGAGAAACTCCATTACCCATCAGCCATCTGTTATTGTCTGAACTCGGGCTAGTTGCTGTATATATATTATTCCGCTGCACTGAGTTGCTTGGTCCCTTGCTGCTGCTCTGGTTGTGGTGCATTAGAGAAATTGCTCGTACTTGACCGCACACGAGCAACAACTGTCCCCGGGCTGTGAGTCGTCTGGGATGGGTAACTGGAGTCCATAACTGCGCTCAGCAACTTCACCATAATGTCGGTAAGTTGTCACTTTTTTGTATTTTAAGTATCTCCATGTTGGAGTGCAGTGTTAGGTCATTTAGCATGTGCAACATGTGATATACTTTACGTTTCAGACCATTATATACCAAGAGAGGAGCATAATGGAAAGTGTTTGTGAGTTGCTGACCCACAAAGACAGTGTGTTCCCTTTTGGAGAGTAGGGGGGTAACAGTAGCAGTCACAGCAAGTAAAGACATGTTAACCGTTAGGCTGTTTTATTAAAGGGATGGGCAATATTGCTGAGATCACTTGTGTGGGAACACATGTTACAACACCTCATAACTCTTTCGGTTATTGCAAACTATTGCAAATGTGTCTTGACTCATTCATTTGGACACCACCTTTGAAAACTATGAGACTATAACATGGCATGGTTATATCATCTAGGGCTGCAACTAAGGATTACTTTCTCAACTGTTTAAAATCATCTTTAATATCTTAAAAATGCCTGAACATAGTGAAATGTCCATGCTTTTTCTTACAGGTTCCAAGGAAATACCCATAAATATATTGTTTTGTGAGTGAGTAGATATGATATTAAACAAAGCCAATAAGGAAACATTTGAGTGCCTGGGGGAAAAAACTGCATCAATTACATGGAATTAATACTATATTTATGCTATTTACAAAAATAGTATTTTTGTTTTTTTGGTCGACTACCCTTGCAAATTGAATGTCATCACAACACTATCCTCCTGAAAGTGTGCCTGGCTTCTTCCATAGTGAACCATAGTCTAATAACTAGTTTAATTTCATTTCTGTAAGGAAGCCGTACAGTATGATCAAAGAGGGTCAATGAGAAGACACTTCATGGGCACACAACCAAATTGCTTTCATAGAAAATGTGCAAAATCTTTGCATGTTGGTGTGCATTTGCATTTCCAACATGCATACCAAGAGCTACATGGCAGAATTAAAAATAAATATCATAAGTTAAGGTGTTGCAAAATGCTTGACATGAATGTAAACAGCCCGTTATTACATTCTGCATAATAATCAGCCATATGCTCTTGTTTGTTGCAGGGAGAAAGTCTATTTTTGCGACTATTTGGGTTTTGTAATAATGGGCAGTCCCCAAGTCACATGTTGTCTAAAAGCACACACAAGAACGGATACAGTCCTTTGGAAGTGTACTGAGGGTGTTTGTAGTAGAAATACGACCCTTGCAGTTTGCAGTCTCAACATTCAGCATGCAAACAAATATCAGCTTTTCTCAGGCGGTTTAGAAGATAAGCTCTCAATGATCACTGTACCTGGCCATCGGTTATATTGTTGACTCAAGTGTCTATATTTGACTTTCTGAGTGATGAATCATGCTGCCTCAAAGACTCTTGTCCTTGTTATCACTATTACAACACTTTGGCACTCTTTACATATTGCTTCGCCCTGTTGCTGTTGTTTGGTTCCTGACAATTTAACATACAAATAATGGGATATAAGTGGACGGTATAAAAGCAATAAACTACACTTTCATTATTCTGCAGAACATTTTTGCTCTTTTCAAGATGTTAGGGTTGGGCATCATTTTTTTTAAATAACAATTTGCTAACCATGCGGTGTGGCTACATGGGGTCTGTCGTAGCAGCTTTCAAATCAGCTGTGGTCTAGAGAGAATAATCAGTTAGGTAACAAATGTACAGCAACACAATATTTGTATTAAAAGCAATAAGGAACTTTATACTTGGAAGTATGACGTCTCCTCCAAAGAGCACACGTACTGTTCTGGACATCAAAGCAGATTTCGACAACATTCTGGGAGGCCAGCTGATACCCCCTCTGGCACTGCATGCAAAACCATCACACCCTACAAGACAATGGGATATACAGATACCCCTCAGATAGGGCTGTGCAATTAATCGTATTTTAATCGCAATTACGATTTTGGCCTGCCACAATTACGAAAACAACATAATCGAAAAAAACGATTATTTTGCTTTGCTAGGTTGTGACATATTTGATCTAATTTATTTTAGTCTAATTTATTTTTATTTATCATATTTATATATGTTTAGTAGCTTGTTGAAGTGCGCTCCAAAATATTTGTTGATCTTGTTTATTGGTATTTATTATTTTGATATTATTTATTTTTGTATTGGTTTTTCAGTTTAATTATACGTTCAGGGTAATCAACAGTTAAAAAGACACTGTTCAAATTATTATTTGTATTTGTTTTAAAGTTCAATCAATGGATGTTTTCAAAGTCAATGAATAATCGTATTTAATAATCGTGATTATGATTTTTGCCATAATCGCACAGCCCTACCCTCAGACACAGTATGCAAAAACCTCACCCCCTAAACACGTCTGTTGACCACACATACATTTAAGGTTCACTTCCAAGAGATGACCTAATCAGAGAAACTAAGACCCCCTTTACACGAGAACGAAACGGGTTGTATCCGCATAGTTTCTCTTGCGTATAGCCCTTTTATTTACACGAGGCCGTAACAAAACGATAGAAACGGATAACGGAAACGGGTCCCAAGGTGGATAGATTTGCAAACGGAACGCTCTGGGGGGTCAAACGGCTCCGTGTAATCGCCTCTATACGATCATTTCCCGATAGATGAAGCCATAGCCCCGCCTCTCCCCACCTCTGCTGCTCACTGCTGTAGCACTAGCAGTAGCTACTGTCAGTAGCTACTGCTAGTGCTACTGCTACTGACCATGCTACAGATGTTAGTACAACATCTACAGCTCGACCATGCTACAGATGTTAGTGCAAAATCTACAGCTCCTCTACCACAACCATCAGCAACAAGTGGACATGGAGAATTACATGAACTACTACATGTTGCTAAATCTACCGTGGGGCATAAACAGAAGGGCAACCATGGGGTCTTCTTTGCTGCTTTTGGTGTATTTTGTGGCTGAAGTTACAGCGCCACTTACAGGCCCGGCATATGTACTACAGCGTTTCCAGCGGTCTCGTGTGAACAGACACGTTAAATGAAAGGAATGCGTGTGAACGGAATACTTTTTTGAAAACGCATACTGTGCATAAAAGCAAACGTTCCCGTGTGAAGGCAGCCTAAGGTTAGCAATGTTAACACATTTGATCGCACAATTTCCTTAACAGGTCATAGTTAATTAGAAGCCTAAAATGGCGATACACCTGAGCAGTCAGACCTTTAACAAACCTTAATGGTAGCCGAATGTATTTGGCATATAATAATAATAATAATACATGGTATTTATATAGTGCTTTTCCAGGTGCTCAAAGATGCTTTACCTTACATTACAAGTTAGACTCTTTATCCAATGCGACTTACATGCACTCAATACTGTGGACAATACCCAGAGGAGCAATTTGGGGCGAAGTGTCTTGCCCAAGGACACAACGACGCTGACTGCAGTGGGTGTCAAGGTGGGATCTGAAGATGAGCTCACTAACCGACTGAAGGATAAGAAATAAGATAAGAAAAGGCGAAATATAGACTTGATTGTCGTATGATCCATCACAGTGGTGTTGTGTTTTGACAGGAGTCTGGGGATACAATACATATAACGCTACAGAGATTACAACTCACTATATTGAGATACTGGAGAACACACTGCCCTATAAATAACATAGGGGTACACATTTCCCAGATCAGAAAATAGTTTAATAAGTGCCATGTTATTATAATAAGATGTAAACACATCCTGGTTACATGGAATGCTCATCCTGTGACCTCCAAACCACAAGGATGCACATAGGTATGCACACACAGACAAACACACACACACACACACACACACACACACACACACACACACACACACACACACACACACAACATTCCTCTGTCTGTCAGCCCCACAGCAGCAGCAGGCAGAACAAAGTGTGCTTTTGTTGGACAGTCCTTCCTGTGATTGTGGGGCTAGATCGGCTGAAACACTATTTGTCTGGATCATAATTTTTTGTTTTGTTCAAGGTATACAACAATTATATGTAGAACAAAGGAGGTATTGAGTGTGGTATTAAGAATCATTATAACGTGAGATGCTCTCAGTCATTGCAGCAGTAGATGAAGCAGAGGAACACTGATCACAGAGCAGTGCAGGAGCGCTCAGTCTTACATTACTGATCTTGGTGGGAAAGTGGCTGAGTCAGCGTTTCTGTAACACCTGGCCCTATTCATAAAGATTCCCAGAACAAAGAGTCGCTCCTTGTGACGAAACTCTGGAAAAAAAACTCGTACATTTATGACATTTTCTTAGAAATAAGCCTAGATCCAGGTACACATTTAAAATATTCCCAAAGCATCTTATCCCTTTAAAAAATCTCCTTAAAACTATAAGAGTAGAGAGGAGGATATTTGAATAAGCTTAAAGGTAGTTTAACTGGATTAAAGGGGATGAAAATCCTACAGATTAGAACGTGCAGGGATGTGTGCCGCCTTGTTTTCTTTAATTTGATCGCCTTATCACACCTTTTCAAAAGAATGGGTCATACCCATAGACTGTATATATATAAAGGTCATACCTAGCAACAAGGTAAACCACACCTTCTCAATCAGGGTACAATCTTTTATCCCTTCTTGTTCATATTTGCCTAAGAAATCATAAGATAAGACTCCTTCCTTCAGATCATATTTTTAAGAAGGTTTGTGAATATGGTCGCCTGTGCTGCATTTATCCTGTTTTTCTGAATTGGAACGAAGCTTTGAAACTTAACCATAACCAGTGAAGCGTTGAGAGGTTTTAATTTCTCTCTCCTTCCTTTAGATGACTTTTGGCTGGTCGAGCAGCGTGACTCTGCTGTTTGACTTCTGGGATGTGCACGGGCCTGCAGGTAAGATGCAGAGTCTGACAAACGTCTCGCTTCAGAGGACACACACACACACACACCGATCTAACCGGTCTACCGGTAGTGTTTACATCTTAGAACCAGCTAACTGTAATGCTATGCCTACAGACATCAGGATCACTTTATATAACATCATACTCATAGCAAGCTTGAGCAAGGGTATTTTAATATGTTTCACTTACACCGTGACCTTACTGTAATGTCGTACACCTTACTGTAATGTCGTACACCTTGCTGTAATGTCGTGCCTGTTAGCTGGAAAGAGGTTCCTCTGTGGAGGTTAGCAGCTGTCATGATTCCCATCAGTTTCACTGGAAACAAACTTTGACCTGCTTCATAATAAACTCCTGCAGTATGGTCCAGTATGATAAAGCCTGACCAAATATGTATTAGGGCAAGACCAATATTAAGATTATAAAAATCATCCAGCATAAAATTACAAACCTATAAAATCACACCACATATTTTAAATGTATAGTTCTAAAAGAATTGTTAACCGGATTTTCTTCTCCTTTTTTCTTTGTTGACAAGATACGCCTTTCAATGCATCACGCATGTGGTTGTGCTTTTAATTAAATGAACCATTATAAGCTAACTTTATTTTGATTTAGATACCAAATATTGTCAAGTAAACAAAGCAGTTAAACTAGTTATTGGGCGAGTTCTCAACATACAGGTCAGTCATTGCTGTTACCTATATATCCATAATATTAACCAAAATTATCCACATTATTACACTAATTTACTTTCTCAGATGCAAGAGACTCCAGGAAGTCTCTCCATACAGCCAAGAAATCCCAATATTATAATGTACAGATATATATGAGGAAGTATATGACCGCTATTATCTTATGGTATCAAATGAGCGGTTTACTAAGTTCTGCTGTGTGTGATAATGTGTGTGTGTGTGTGATAATGTGTGTGTGTGTGTGTGTGTGTGTGTGTGTGTGTGTGTGTGTGTGTGTGTGTGTGTGTGTGTGTGTGTGTGTGTGTGTGTGTGTGTATGTATAGGGATGGTGCTGTCGGTGTTTGTGGTCCTGCTGCTGACGGTGTTCTACGAGGTGCTCAAAGTGTGGAGGCTGTGGTTGAGCAGCAGCTCAAAGCTGGCCCAGCCTCAGTCTGCGTACGCCCCCCCCCCATCCTACCGCAGCGACAGCACCACGGCGCTGGAGAGCAGCCCCTCCGAGTCCTCGCTGACCCCCATGGAGCCCCCCCCTCCCGCTGCAAACACCACACACAGGTCAGGGTCCTGAAGTAGAAATAGCAGAGTCATCAGAATCACTTACTTAATGTATCGCTAGGGAATCTTTATTGCTATATAACATTATTTTAGAATGAAATCAAATAAATGGCACTTGAACTCATAAATAAACTGATTAGATGTCATTTGTTTTAGTCCATAACTCAAGTGATGACAGACATGTATATGAATTGCAACTTCACTAATTGGCAGAGGCTATATATATTTCTATATATAGATGCATGTGACTGTGACACTGAACATTGTCCTCCCTTTCTGTTAAATGGTCACGTATCTGTCATAATGGTTGAACCTAAAAACAATATGTAAAGTTCAGTACTAGCAAAATTCATCTTGACAGACTGAACTCAAACTATTCTAATGAATACAGCATTTCAGGTAATGATTCAGGGTGGGGGGAGAAAATGGATTAATGTAAGAGTTTAGACAGATTCTAGAAGTCACTGAGAATTAAGCAACTTACCCTCATACAGTATATATGTTTATACAAGGTGTATCCCTCTCTCTCTCCTGCAGATGGCTGCTGCATGCGATCCAGACGGCCCTCCACATGCTGCAGGTGTCTCTGGGGTACATGCTGATGCTGTGCGTCATGTCCTACAACACCTGGATCTTCCTCGGGGTCGTGGTGGGCTCCGTCCTCGGGTATTTCATCTCCTTCCCTCTCGTGGTTCACAAATGATGATATGGACACACTTCAGACACAGGGTGGATTTTTATCATCTGTATTTTTTTTCCCTGAGTTAAGAGGATCTTATGCTCTGGATATTTGAGGGGAAACCACCTAATTTGAATTGTGTTGTTCTGCTTCTTAGTGGTTTTTTGTGAAAATGTGAACACTAGGCGGGGACAAGGGGAGTTCCTGGTACGCTGAATGATAAGATGAGCAACCCAACACAAACTACTGCTGCATGAAACACATCTGGTTATTGAAACTAAAATATTATGCACAAACTCATTCGCACTGTCTGTGAGCAGCACTCTGTCCCTCTTTAATCTGTGGCCTCAGGGCTCTTTAGAGGTCACTTTGACTGGACATACTTACTAATATCATTTGTCTTTGACCAGAGGAACAATATGTATATTTGTATCGTTTTTCAGGTGTTTTCTTTTATGTTAAAGGGATATAGCATTGTGTTTCTGAGGCGTAATCTTGCTCATCTTATGAACAGCAAACATCTAGGAGGAGATTGGAGTTTAGTTTAATTGGACTCCAGCATTTAAATTCTCCACAGCAGAGGAACGACAAAAATGTAAAGAAGGGAAGTCAGGCTCGTGGCATATTACGGTTGTTTCTGGTCAGAAGTATCAGACTATTCTAGTCCTCTGTATTTTCCAGAAAAGTCAAGGTATAATGACACTACAAACTATCACAACATTAGATATTTGAACTGTTATTAAGGGAGAGGTCTGACTATGCTGAGAAGACACAGTTACTGAAGCTTCAAGGTGAAATCATCATGACTTTTATGTTTTAATCTAAAAAGCAACGTTTGTGTGTGAACTAACATGGAAGTATTGAATACTGATTTCTCTTTTTTTGTGGTGTTTGAGTGAAACCTAAACGCAGACTCGCACTCGGAGCTGAGATTGACGGTCAGAGGACTTTTGACAGGGCTAAGAATCAGGAACTGAATCATGTGATTGCGGTTTGTAAACTTCTCTAATTTGTCATCTTGGTTCACGGACCTTCTCTCACGTGAAAGACAATCATGTGGTTCGTTGGCAATCATTGACCACCCTTAACCTGCAAAGAAAAGAACCCTGAAACCAACTTATAACATGTGTTTGAGTTTTTAAACTAGTTTTAGACTTAGTCCAGTTAAAACCTTTTTAGTTGGGAGTGGTGGGTCGAAAATAAAATGTTTCCTTAATGTGTTTCTGTTGCAAGAACTTGGCCGACAAAAATAAAGAATAAAGTTGATGAAATAGTTTTATTCATCCATATTTAATATGTATATACAGTTTATTGCAAGAAGGGAAAGGCACTAGACAAACAGCTGCTCACACCACAGACAGATACTTGTAATAAATAAACAGGAGAAGGTGACGGACAGTTTGTTGCATTGGAAGGAATGGTTCTTAGGAAACTCTAAATGTGCCTTGGATACAGTGAGTGATTTTATTACAGGTCACTGAATCATAAAAATGAGAGTTAAAAGTTTTCCCTAATTTCATTTGAAAATAAATTGAAATGTAATTGCAATTTTTTAAAGATGTTCCTGCAAAGAAATATGTCATTTTGTACTAATTCTAATAAAAATGATATGTTAGTACTTTATTTCCAAAAATGTCCTTTCTTGTCCCCCACTTGCTTTTACTGACATTTATTTTCTAGTGTTACTGTTGGGAACATTTTACTTAAAAGAGCTAACAGTTGTCGCATGGCAGGTCAGCGGAGTATGGACAAACCTGAAGTGTATCCCCTTTATTCAATACATTTGTAGAATCTTTACTGTAATTTCTCTACGCTTAGTACAATATAAAATGGTTCTTTTTCAGGAAACTTAATAGGACATTTTGCAGGAATTAAAAGTTTCATATGTAAAGTTTTACATCATTTTTGATTCAGATAAGGAATTGAGACCTCATCCATTTTCCCCAGATTAAACATTATAATTTTATATTAAAAAATATTGGCTTTGAAGAAAAATTGCCACTGGATTGTCATTATAAAATATCAGTGATATTTGGGAAACCGAAGACCATTAAGATCTCCCTCATCCTGGAAGTGCAAATCATTTGACAAAATATTTAGTGTTGAAACATAATGGCCATTTGTGAATACAGGAAAAGCTTTCAAAGAACTGCATAAGAAAATTACATTTTATAAAAATAGATACTATTATTTAAAAATAAAAAGAACAATTCCCCACACAACATCCAAAGGTTGATTGTAGCACCCCCTGCTGCCCAGGTAGAGGCTGTGCATAAGAAAGCAAAACAGAGAAGAAAAATACCTGTAGTATAACTTGAAAACATCAATAAGTTAGTTGTTTATTACCACTTCCCTGATCCTTGTATTGGACCCTTAGCATGTTTACATAGCATAAACGAGCAGTGTCTTGAAGAAATCTGCATTGAGACTCGATAAGTTGCACAGAAAGAAACCAATCACCAAATATTATAAAGTCAAGAGGTGGATGGGAGAGCTGGTTGTGGAGTGTGCAATATTAACAACAATGCACTTCAACTTAAAGGAATATTTGTCCCCCAAAATGATCATTTGTTTATAAATTACTCACGCTATGTAACCTTCAATACTTTAAAAATGTAAGTAAATGGGAACCAGCTTTAACCACAACGAAACTACATCAACAAGTCTGTTAACAAACTTTCCGACAAATTGTGCAGAATAATCAAATGTCTCCAGTCATATGCTCACTTATTCATAAACATATGCATTTAAATAAATCCTTACTTTAATTATGTATTTATAACAAATGTAAATAATAAAGTTGCTATACGCGTACTGATTTATGTTTCCCATGGAGGTATGTTTTTTTTTTTTAAATGAATAAACAAATGATTATTTTGGGGGTGAACTAGTCCTTTAATCCCTTGCAAACAGTCCTTATCAATTCTCTCCCATTACATGTGATGCACTCTCCAGTTTTAGAGTTCTGTTCGGAGGATTGTCTTCCTACGCTAAAACCACTTCCACATCCATCGGGTCAATCATTTCGTCCTCTCCGTTCAGACCGTTTGTGATTGGCTGAGGCTCGTCTTCTTCCTGCCCCTCATTGGCTTGCGACTGGAAGCCGCTGTCGTTCTGCAAGCTAGAGTCTGTGACCACCTGTGGTGCTGGAGACGACTCGTTATCTGATTCCGCTGTGGAGACTTCTGCAATCTTTTCGCTGTCATCTTCCTGCACCGCTATCTCGATTTCCTCGATGGCGTTCTGGATGGCCGCTTCCTCCGTATCCACTTCCTGCTTCTTGCTTACCACCAGCTCCTGGAGAATTGTCTGCGGGGACGTCTTATCTCTGGGAGACTTCATTGGGATGTCCTCTCGCACGGTGGTGACGTGTGTGACATCCATCTGCACACTGTCCTCCAGGGTCACGGTGCCCGTTGTTGGCTCCGTCCCGTTGGTGATGTCGCTCTTGGTCTCCTCTACAACCGGAAGCCCCAACGCCACCACCGGGTTGATCAGACCCCTGATTTCATTCACGCTGTCAGGAGATTTGGGCTCCTCCTCTTCCTCGCCCTCTTTGCCCTCAAACATCTCACCGTCCTCCTCAGGGATGAGCTCCACGCCTGGGACCTCCATGCAGGACTCGAAGGGCAGAGGCAGCCCGTCCAGCTGGATCATGGACACCACCTGCCGGCGCCTGCTCGCAGAACCCCCTCCTTTAACGCCGTCGCCCCCAGCCGGACCCTCGGGCTCATCGGCCCCAAATTCGGCAGCCCAGTCCACCGCAGAGCTCTCTCCCAGCAGGTGCAGGTTGGGGTCGCTGTTGGTCAGAATCATGCTGTCTCTGTACAGGTTGTGTCTCCTCTGGACCGCTGCCTCCTTCACAGCTGGGCAAAGAGAGAGAACAGGAGAATCAGTTGCTTTGTAAACGAGAACGCTTGATAATGTACTACCACGGCAGCCATCATCTCAAAATCGTATGGTTTTTGACCCTCACCCATCATGATATCCTTGGAGACTGACTGCAGCACCAACTCCTCGAACATATTTTCCACCAGCAGGAAACGGGAGAAGTCCTCAAAGATAAGCTCTTTGAAGCGAGGCAGCTCCTGTGGAAGGAGGAAAAGAGATAAGCTTTTATAATTGACCATTGATAAGTTTCTTTCCACACTTTGAACGTTCGCTTCTTCTCACAGGTAAGCAGGAAGGCGACAGCTGCTTCAGCATGTACGGGATGATGATCTGCAGCAGAGCCTCTCTGAAGAACTTCTTGCGCACACTGCTGCTGTCGTAATCATATTTCTGAGGGTAAGACCAGAAACACACATGGATATTATAGTTTTTCTACTCAAATCATCAATTATATATACATCAGCAATTCACATCCTCAAATATTTGCTTCTGCTTAGACTGCAGAGTCTATCTGGAGAAGAATAAATGGACAGTATAAAAAGATGCTGAACTGAGAGAATTTATTTTAGTTACTTTGAACAGATAACACTAAGGACTACGGATGCCCAGTAGGTCATGGGAGAAAGCAATATTATAGTAAACCTTCTTTCCTGACGTTTGAAAAAGTCTTTGCCATGATCATTTGTCCAAGTTAGTGTTTGTTTCATACAGACGATATGAAAGATCCTGCCAAAACATATATATTTTTGAACTGGAAAACACTTTTTATTTACCTGTTTCACAAATCAAAAAAGAAACAACTGTTGGGTGAACTAAACTTAACTCAAAAGTCTGTTTTTTAATAAATATATGCTGCAACACAAACAGTGCAAACCTCTGATGAGGTTACTGTTTGTCTAATATACCGCTCAACAGTGTCTCCTGTTTACCTTGAGAACCCTGTCCTGGCAGCGCTGCATGGTCTTGCACATGTCCTCTTCTCCCTTGGTCTCCAAAGACTGGTGGAGCAGCTGCTCAAATGTGTACACCGCATTGTCCATTTGCTGCAAGAAAACAAGTGATAAGTTATCCAATAGCCCAAGAAACAGATTTATCTTTGCAAATAGTGATACTCTTTTTGCCCAGCAGGTGTGAGTAGAGACTCCCCTACAGACAGGTTGCTGGTGTGTGTCCTGTACTCAGAACTAAGGGAGTGTTTCAGGCCTCCTCACGCTGCTTTGCTACATGCTGATTCTTTGTATTATATTATACTACATGTATCTCCTCACCTCTCTCATGAGGATCTGAGCCCTGCTGACGAACACCGAGGGGCTGGCCACGTCGAACCTCTGCTGCAGCCCGTCCAGGTTCAGCTGCTCCACCTTCTCGTAGCAGCTCTGCATTTTCACCGGGTGGAAGGCGAGCATGGACAGCCTCTCCATGTTCTGAGGGGAAGAGGGGGAGAAGAAGGTCAAGGTGATGGAGGTGGAGCAAGCTTAATACAGGAGGAGGTATTATAGGACCAAAAGAGGTTGAGTATATCGTTCCTGTCACAGAGGGCAGCTGAGGACACTTCCTGACTTCTAATTCAAGGGAAGCATTAAAGGTAGGGTAGGTAAGAATGGAGAAACCAGTTTGAGTAAGCTAGAATTTGAAAGTAGTAGTACACAACCGAAAAAAATCTGCCCCTTCCTTCAGACTTCCTTACAGAGCCCCTCCTCCAACACACACGAACGAATGAGGGCACGAGATAAGTTTGTGCACGAGATGGAAGGCTGACAGGCAGGTAGGCCATCCAATTATCTGCCGCGGGCCGACGCAGATAATTGGACTAGCTTTTTACAGCGCCACGGCTTCCACAGATGAAATATTTGTATATATTTATTGTCAAAGCATTTAATTTATTCATTGCTATCGGGATGTTAAGAGCATTCCATGGAATATAACAAAAAGTGTTTCTGAAGTGAATTACCTACCCTACCTTTAAGCTGGCCAAGGCTTTACAAACATGCAGTCTTAAAATACAATCTGATTATTTTATTATTATATGCAAAAGTCCTGCATGATTTTTTTCTAACTTCAAATTGGATAAGAAAGTTTTTTTTTTTTTTTTTTTTACAGATTTAATTTATAGGTTTTATAGGGCATTTTGGATAATGGATATGAAAACTAACGACAGCCATACAAAATAAATCTTTTTTGTATATTGTATGAACAAACCCTGTGTAGAAACTAGGAATGGAACTGGAAAGTTTAGTGAGTTAGTGATACTGAATAAGACATTTCTGGCTCAGGATGATGGAAAAAAACTCATATATATCAATATGAAATTCCCTAGATGTTTATTGACATTAAGAACATCATTTGTTGGATACCAAGCTTTCTAAGAAATGATGTTTGAATATGCAAATGAGGTACTATCTAATACCTTTGGTAAATGTAGGGACAAAGTTAATAAAATAAATAAATGAATGTGTATTTTGGAAGTTTTCTACATTCTAGTCTGAAAGAAGAAATGTTATTGAAGCAAAACAGCCCAAGCTGTCGGCTGGAGAAAAAAAAGCAGCATGGGAAACTGATGTGGGAAAAAAAAGGGTTTGTTTCTTTTGGATAACAGCAACCGTTTTGCTGTCATCCAATACAAACAAGAATTTCTTTTCCCAGTAACCTCCGGTAATGCAAGTAAAAGCGTGTCTGTCTTTCAACACCAATCATAGACTAATGTGAATGGGGGTCATAGTGACTAACCCACAGAGAATTATCAACAACTAACTCTGCAGATGTACGGATGTATGCAGCTTAAAGGTGTTTAGAAAAAACTAAATGATGGAAAGAGACAATGTAGATTGGTCAAGAGTTCACTGAAGGCGAAACAACATTTGCATTATATCCCTGTTTTCATGTTTATTCTATGTCTATTTTACCTTACTCTAAAGCCCTTAGGCCTGCATTCACTGTATGAAATGTACTATAAATAAAGTGTATTGTTATGATTACCTTTCCTATACCTTTGTTATAAAACAACTCTTTTACTGGAAATGTGAACCATGTTATCCCCTGTATCAAACTATCACCTTACATCAGTTCAAGTAACAGAAAGAGAGAGTGAAAGAAACTATTGCAGTCAGTGAAACACGACTCACGTCTCCCAGTTTGTCTTTGCCCCCTCCGTTGAGCGAGTTCTTGCTGATCTCCACCATCTCCCTGAAGAACACGTCCCTGACCTCGGAGAACCCTCGGCTGGTGGGCTCCATCAGGGCCTCCAGGATGGAGCTGATGTACGGCTGCACGTTCGCCCTTAGTGTTTGCTCCGCCTTGGGCAACACCAGAGCTGAAGAAAAGAACACATTCAAGGTTAACTGCTGTAAACACACACTGCAGATGATGAAGAGCAAGTCAAAGCATTAAGAAAAGAGGCATGGCTCTTACTTCAGAGGAATTCAATCGACAATATACAATGTCTCGTTGACTGCCAAGTTGAAATGGTTTGACTTTGAGTAAACACACTTGTGTCCTTTCAATGGAAACCCAACTCTCGGATACACCCACTTGTTGGAAGTATAACCTGCGCTGAAAAAGGCAGACAAAGTAGAATTGACGGCTTAAACTAAAGAGGCCCTATTATGCTTTTAGAGGTTGGCTATTTCCTGTAGTGTGTTATTTAGGTTTTTGTGCACGTAAATGATCTGCAAAGGCTAAAATCCCAAAGTTCTCCTCCCCAAAATGAGCACAATATGTGTTCATTAAGAATCAGATTCCTCTACATTCCCCTCATGTAACCTTAAGTTGCATCCTCTTGCAGCTGAGTAATAGTTTTGAGCTTTATCTGTTGGGAAGAGTCAGAAATGACCTATACTGTATAGTGCAGGTGATGGAATGCAGTTCTGTCACTTTACCTCAATGTGACAGTACATGACAAATGTGAGAACCCTGTGTGAATAGATAGCTCAAAGGGTGGATGCTGTGGTGTTGCAAAGTCAGCTTATCAAACACAATGAGGGTGACAGAGTAAAGCAACACACTTAACTAAAAGAGCTATGCAGTGTACAGCAAGAGAAAGACATTTTTTAGCCACATTTCGAAACGAACTTCTAGGAAACTTGAGCACTGTGACGTTATTCAGTGACCAAAGTGATCGCTTCCAAAGCTACGTCTCACTAAGGCAGACCGTAAGCGAACAATGAAGCGTTCACTTGAGGTCGGGAAGATCAAGTTACACGGCACAGTGAGCACCAAGTGAACCGAGTCATGTATAAGTAGGTAAACAAAGTAAGGAGGTGAAGTCAACTACAATATGTCATTACAGATTAATCATGGCGTTTATATCTGTCTTGCATCAATTCTTGCTTCAATTGTACTACCTGGATATTATTTTGTTTAATAAAAGGCATGTGTGACAATGGAGTTCATAACTTCTCTTACACTACTGTTACTAACTACAGCTGTGATTCTGTTCAGTATATCACTTGTACTCTCATCAGAAATGAGAAAGTCAATGTTAGTCGTTTTTTACCGTTCAGAACACCCCTATATAGGCAAGGTGAAACCACATCAAGGTGAGCTAAAACTGGGCTATATTTAGTTGAAAAGTACATTTCAATGACTATATAGTGTGGTGTTGATTTACAATGAAATAACTGTTTTATGTAGATGTTTGGTTACCTCGTATCTTGCCGCTGACGTGTTCTTTAGACGTGATCATCTGGTCCATGTCGGTTCGCAGTCTGGCGTCCAGTGGAGCTCTCTGGGCCTCGCAAGAATCCACCAGCGCATCGTACTGAAAGCTGGTCAGAGTCAGCACCTGCTTGTACACTGCGTCAGAGATCTGGAGGAGAGCGTTCAGAAACACAATCGATTTGAGTCTCTCTTGTGTCCCTACAGTATGTCTGCAGTGCACTGTGCAGTATGATAGGAACTCACCAACATCCAATGCCGCTGCCTCTGCTGCATCTTCCCCCTCAGACGAGGTCCGATAAGGCTTCTCAGCTCTGGGTGGAGGGTCTCCATCACCAGATTAGCAAGGATCTGTAAACATACAATATATGTAGACAATATTAATACATTTTTGTATATTTAGTGTCCTATTTTTGTGTGTAAAAGGCGAAAATACCCAACATTGTATAGGATTTATTCTCACTTAATGGCCCTTTAAGCTGCAAGGTCAGCCCCACCTACTTTTACCATTATAGGTATTATAACTAGGTGTGAACTGCGATTTTTTGCACAAGCAGTTAAGTCAAAAACACCCAATATGCTCCACCCAAAGAAAAACAAAAATACTTCTTTAAAAAACGCAGCCCCCTCTTTCCTGTGGCTGCATGGATACAGTGGGGCGATTGATGCACAGCTGGATACAGAGAGGCAGGAAGGCTGGCACTGCCCTCACAACTGACCATAGCAACTGACACACACACACACACACACACACACACACACACACACACACACACACACACACACACACACACACACACACACACACACACACACACACACACACACACACACACACACACACACACACACACACACACACACACGCGGCTCAGAGGTTTTAACTAAGCTTGACTAAATATTTGTTTAAACACGTTGCTGTACGAGACAAAAGCACAGTAGTTTTCCAAAACAGAGGAACAGAAAGAACTGACAAACAATAGGTATTTTGTAGTTTGTTAGTTTGAAAGCTTTAAATAGGACTTTCTCTGTATTACTGGCTGTGAGATTTCATACTTTATTTATTTGTATTTTGTGCCAGTTTCTCTACAGCTGCCCCCAAAATGACAAATGGCATGACAACTGAACTTATTCAACCCTAAAGCACTTATTTTGCTTACTGTTTTTTTATTTTATTTCCCTCAGCTGTAAAAAAAAATGTGTGAACAAAACAATTATAAAAAACCAATATATTTAATTTTGTTGTTCAATATTTGCATGCTTTATTTTATTGTATTGTGTTGCAATCCTTTATATATATATACAGTCTATGGTTGCAATGGAAATACCATGTTTCCATTGCAACATTATCACGTGACATACCATTTGCGCACCTGCGCACCTTTCGTTGAAAGGCGGTCTATTTAAACCCCGGAAGCCCCGCCCTCTGTTTGCTCAATTACTCCTCGGTTTAAAAAGCTCTGTGGCAATTTTGTATCACGTGGTGTCACCTTTTATTGTTGTTAATTTAGCATTTTATAGCTAGGTAAACACGCTAACATTTTGACCATGTTGCTCCAGGATTGTGTTTTGGAGGACATCATTTTGTGTCGGCCAATATCGTCGACGACCTCATACAAGCTTTAAGCTAGCCGGTGGCCGGAGTTTTCCTGTCCTCTTGTCGTTAGCTTGAGAGCACTGGGACTGTGTGTTAAACAGCAATAGGGTATGTTCTATATAATGCTAATTATGATATCCTAGACCTAGAGCATATTGCAAGTCTACTGTATGCTTTTTCTCTGTTGGGTTAGTGTTTAGAAATATGTTAATTGTGTGCCTAATTGGCTATTTTCACAGCAGACATTTTGAATTGTTACTGTAGCTATTAGGAAAAGCACAGGTGTTACTAATTACATTAACAATGGCGCAGTTATCCTTAGAAGTCCCATTAAGCAATTATATCACAGCATTTCTCAATGCAACACAGCAACACAATTTAATAATAGCCATAACTAATGCATATAAGCCTATTTTCTTCTGAAGTAATTTTGTGAAAATGTCTTCCATGAAAAAGGCCTATTTTATTGACTGGCTGTTTATTTCTTTCCTTTTTATGTTGCTAGAAGCTATGTCGGGAGCATTTTAATTTAGTTAAGCTCTGATATTTACATTTTCACGGAACACATCGTTTATTGGGACTGCTTGTTTTAATATAAATTCCATTAAAAAAGCTGAGCTTCACTTTCCCTGCTGGATTCATAAGGCTCATAGCTTTATACAGTTCTAATGGTCATCTGAAGCTTATTTCCCCCCCTTCTCTATTCGCATAATGAATACAAAATCCACAGGAATGTCTGGAAGGGAGATGCTGGAAAATGGAAAAATCTCTAACTGCATTGGCTGAAATACCCTCTATTTTCTGCTAAAATGTCTCATAGCAGTATCATCTGCTCCAGTTAAAATTATTTTTTACATTTACAAATGTTCAACATTTCTAAGCCCCTGTAAAGTTTATGGAAGGAGGTAGAAGTTTGTATATAATATGGGCAGGAAACACGGTTGCTCTAAACACACAGAGCAACTATGAAGCACTATTAGGAGACTGAAAGAGACTCATTCAGAGGGGAGACCCACATCAACCGTGTGTGTGTCTTTGCTTTTGCTGGTATTTTGAGGGGTGGGGTCTTGTGTAGGTGCACTCTTGTACTTTAGTGTGAAGAAAGAGTCTGTGTTCCTGAAGTAGATGGAGGGTTTTCCTGAGCTGTATACATTAGGAAACACCTTTTCCTTGGAAAGCTATGCATCTATGTCTACCAATGTTTGTCAACTATTATTGTGGCCTCTCAACATGTTGAATTATGGCCATTAAATGAACTTTGGACAGGTACTCATGGGGAACTGTTTTGTATTTGTTCCTGAAAATCTCTTTTAACTGTCACCTGCAGCAAATAAGCTAATTGAGATGCAATATACTCAACACTACTCAGTGTCAAGTTGTACAAAGGTGGTTATTTCTGAGAAGTGGTTGAATAATTACTCAGATTCTTTACTAAAGTAAGAGCAGAAATACTATTCTCCATTACAAGTTTAAGTCCTGAACTGCAATTGTACTTGAGTAAAAGCAATGAAGTATGATCAGTAAAATGTACTTCATGTGTCAACCAACACACAATTTAATCACAAGCTTGTTTATGTAGTATTTTGTCAAAGTTGAGCCAATTTCAGACTCTTTTTTTAAATACTGTGAAAATTAGTAGTACAGTACAGATATCATTGTAGCATGTCTTTTGTTTATATAGGCCATAACTTTCTAAGTGTTTTAATAAATGCCTCTGAAATGTAGTTCAGCAGAAGTACAAGATAAAATGGAAATAAGTAAAGTACAAGTGCATCCAAAAAATATTTTTTATATTCAACCACTGCTTTGCAAACCTGTTGCATTCAGGTGCTTCTACTCTTGTGCATTACCTGGAAGCTGGCATCGAACAGCAATCTGTCGAAGCTACAGTTATAATAAATAACAATGTTGATAATCTATTAATCGCTAACTTAATTTGTAATGCAAAAAAAAATGCTGTTAGTTGCAGCACGTTATTAACTGTTTTATTTCCTGTTGCCAGGCACTGATCGTGGACCAGCTGACCATGAGGATGTTGTCGTCTTGCTGACAGATGACAGACATCATGATGGAGGGCATTACCAGTAAGAGACCATCATCACATCCTCTGCACTGTTACATTTGTGTATATGCTCCTAGAGTTTACAGTATGTTGTTTTTTAACTGACATACATGTGACAGCCCTTGTAGACCAGTTTTGAGAAGTACCACAGTAATGCAGCATTTTTAGATCCTACCTCTGAGCTGGGAAACAGCTTTTTTGTGATTAATCTGAGATCCTGACCTGTGGGGGCTTTCCGCACATCATATCCCATGTGCCGTAGTTTCCTTTAGCTTGTCTGAAGAGTCTCACAGAGTCGGTGAAGGCTGGTGTCTGAACGCTGCAGTCCTCTGACAGACCTGTTGGGGCAGGGCAGAGCAGAGCAGATGCTAAGTAATGTTACAGAAACACAAACCCCTTCTTCTCTCTTTAAAAACAAGATGCAGTTGAGTGAAATAATCTTGATAGCAGCATTGCAGGATGCCTTTTTACATTGAAGTGGGGTCTCAGAATGTTCTCAATAACTATGGCTGAATGACTCGATATGTTGTCATAGTTTTCTGTATATTCTTACACTAACAACGGTTTCCTTAGTATCTGAGTCATTTCTGTACGACGTCTGAAAGTCTAATTTAGGCCTGCAGTACACTCAGTAACAGTAGCTTGAGAATAGGACAACATAAGCACTGGTAGCCCCTATCACACACAGTTGTGTCATCCCTTAAAACAGGAAGTTGTTGGTTTGTTAGAGGACTGATTTTATGTGGTTGCCCTGGTTACTGCCACTCCCTGTGGACAAGACAATAGGAGCAGCTCACAAAACATTCGGCAACACGTGTTTGTTTTTAGGAAGTTGGATCTTCTCATGTGGCTGTGTTTAAGTGATGAAAATACATCACTCATCTGCATCTGTCAAGGCCACAGCACTGAGGGACACTAAGTGCTGAAAGTCCTGCATCCCTCACAAAAGAGTACAAACAGGTGGAATAAAACGTCCCTATAATTAGCAGCTTGTCCTTCAGAGCAGTTCTTTCTTTAAATAAAAGTGACTGATGCTTCAGACGCTTTTTCTCATGCGGCAACAAGAGTCAGTCCTTCTGACGCATAGATGTGTAATTAAAGGGTATGTTTGCTGTTCATAGCCCGTATTGAAATAGTGTTTGCTATCATGTATGATGGTTAATAATATCACACAACTTCAACAATAGCACCAAGACCTTATGAATAAAGACAGCAGCAAATAGGTCCTGATAATGCTACATTGTAAAACACAAATCCGCATGGTATTGTGACAGCTGTAGTTTGTTGAATATAATGTGAGGTATTTTATGCAGACGCATCAATGTGTGTGTCCTTAATGCTGGAGTCTCCATCAAGTTGTTTTGTCTGTGGCTGTACGTCTGTGACTCAGATGAGGCTGACAAAGACAGGAAGTGACCAACGAGTGAGGCAGGGGGAGAGGTAGAGCCAGACAGGAAGCTGTCTCAGCTCCAGCTCACTAACTCTTTGCTGACAGGCTGAGCTTCATGTGTTAGCTTGTTTTGGCACATTTTCCTGAGAATATATTTGACATTAAGGTTAGAGGCGCAATGGGAAGATAACGGCACAGACAGCTGCCATGTTGGCAGAGGACCAGCCGTCCTTTGGAGGTCAAATTCATTGAAAAGTGTCTGAGGGACCTGGCAGCAAGCTGGCTTATGTTGACTATCCGTATAGCAGACACAAACAAAAAACTAGTTTTCACAAAAATGTATTTGGATTGTTTCCCATGTCTGAATCTTAAAGTGTTCAGCTCTTTCTTCTAAAGTGCGTATCTGTTCATCCATGGTAACATTGGCCAGAGAAACTGTCATTAGCTAATCTGGCATACTTTAATTGAAGCCAATTTGCAAACACTTTAACAAAGATATGGTCAACGCATGTTGTATTCGATGGCTAACTTACTGACTCCATAGCAACATTATACTTCCTGTTTATATCGGTCTTACAGAAGTATGAGAAGTAAAAGCAATAGGAATGGAAAAACCCAATTCCTTCTTTTATAGCTTTGAAGCAAACTTTAAGTCTCCCACTCTTTATGTTTGTTTCCAGCTGTAACAGGAACACAGCACATGTTTATCAAGGAGCTAAGTGGGTGATGATGGACTACTGACTTACTGTGGCTCAACATCCATATCCTGTTGTAAATGTTACTAGGAGAAAGTGAAACAAAGAAAAGACTATGCCCCCTGAAATAAATAGCTTTAAGAATTGAATCTTTTCAGAATCATTGTGTTTACCCATGGCCTGGCACCAGTGTGTGATGCCTGGTGGCTGGGTACCACTGGGCTACACTACTCAGTGTTTGTGGTGAACACTTTTCGGGCCTTTCCTTGGCCAGGTCTTCAGTGTGAAATGCCTGAAAGCCCTTCTACATTCTCAGTTAGTTGCTCACTCGCAGATACATTTCCTGTTGCTGCCAATAGAAAAGGAAATTATTTTTTGAGGATTTGCCATGCTTGTAAACCACTTCACATTCTCCATGCGTCTGAACCAAGCTAGATCAAGGAACAGATTAGTTTCTCTGCAGTGTATGTGTGTGTGTGTGTTCTGTGTATAAATAGAACATGTGGCAGCACTTACCACGGTCTTTTTATTTGAGGCATTTCCCTCCCTGCCTTGCTCACCATGCTCTGGTTGGTGGGATTTGAGCAGCAGCGTTCCCAGGCCTTCACAACCACACATGTTTGTGTGTGTATATTTCTCTGACTTAAAAATATTTGACATTCAAAACCTTTTAAGCATTTGGATGTCAAATATTGTCTGATTAGATTTCAACTAAAGGCCACCTGCCCTCACATCAATGCAGGTTTAGACACATGTTTCAACCCTCACACTGCTGCTGCTGCTACCGCCGACATGCATGAGTAGTTTCCCATATGGTGCTGCAGCCCTATGGAATCAGCCAAACCCACAGTACAATAAATACTCACTGAAACATACCATCAACCGCAGACATCACAAACAAACACATGACTGAATGAGACAACAATTTGAGCAGATCCTGCCTCATGTAGCAACTATGTGAGTCCCTGACACCCTGTATTGCTTTCTTTGGTATGTAAGTATGTACTCTATATTGTCTACTCTAGACTAGTACATAAAGGAACCATATGGTAGGCTGAAAGCACACTGTCTTAATGCTGACCTGCCTTGAAAATACTTCTATAATGCTCCGACTGTGCCCACTGCAGGTCTCTTCTTGCTGAGTGGAATGAGTCTGAGGTCTGTGGATCACAGCAGAGGGCTGCTGGCTGGTTTTAGAGGCTGTGGGGGTGGAGACTGTCTGTGAGTGATGGCTCTCTAGTGGCCAAGGAGCAGCTCAGAGCAGTGTTTGACTGCTGATGTGATGCAGCATCAGCCTGGCTGCTGGGCTGCTGCACAAACTGAACCAATTAGCTAAATTCCAATTATTGGGCACCACTAGGTGAAAGCACTCAATGTTTTTTTATGATCAAATAATCCCTTGGTTGTTAGTTGATGAATTGTAAAAGATGCAAAAGAAACCCAATATGTAATCAAGCCCAAGATGATGTTTATTTCTTTAGATGAACTCACATTTTAGAAGCTGGAGGTAAAACAATGTTTGCCAATCTTGTTTAAAAAGTGACTCATACTTCTAAATAATGTTGAAAGGTGTGGATTTTTCATATTTTTATTGATGAGTCATTTGAATATTAAACTAATTGCTTCAGGACTAGACATGTTTACTTGTCAAGTTCATCATGAATCTAACCGTAACACCATAATATCCCTGGAGACTTTAGTTTGTGCCTACTGGGTCCAATGTCGGTCAACATTTTACTCACCAGGTTAATTACAGAGACATGGTGAGTCCAAACTACAGAGCTTTAAGATGCAGTCCTTGTTGCTGAAGGTCAGGCATCAGATCAGCCATGTTTAAATATATAACTACTTACTTTCTTGACAAATTGAAACGGTAAAATGATTACACAATCTGTATTTTGTGAGGGTGTATTAGGTTTGCTGGTCGTCCTGATGCAACTAACTGCAGCTTTGTGTTGTGCAGAATACAGCGATGAAGTCATCCGGTAACTGAGCTGATTAACTGGTGGCTTTGCAAACGATGCTGTTAAGGCAATGCAAAGCAGCAGTTCATCATTTTATCAGGTTGCTTATGAGGATGAAACCACCATGGCTTAAGTGGATGCAAATACATCTTCAGTGCGTCAGTGTAAACATTTAACTTGTGGTTTTTACTTATCAAAGCCAGCTGAACAGTGTCAGTGTTCAGCTGAAGAACTGCTTTGCATGGAGCCTCTGTGCTGCTCCTGTATTCCTCCTGGTCAAAGCAGTATTTTATGCATCATGACTGACATGCTCTATAAAGAAGTGTTAAATGTGGTAGTCAATTCTCACTTGAGTGTATTAGGAAAGTTTGTGTCAAATCTCAGATTCTATCCACATACAAAATTACAGTAGTAAGTAACAGTTTTAAAAAAGTGTTTCAATTTCAACACACATTCTTCCCTGTAGGAAATGGCAGCATATCCAGAGAGTGTAGATGTGAGTGTGTGTGTGAGTCCAGTGAGTTGTAATGTAACTGCAGACAGGGCAGAGGTCAGGCTGTCAAACCATTTATCACCCCGAGGAAAGTCTTTCCCGGTTCTGGTTTTCCTCCAAACACTGACATGCAGAGGTGAGACTGGGCGTGTCTACACGGGCCAAAAACATGAATGCCAATCAACACTGACACACCAGCCATGGCGACAGTAAAACAGCAACACACTCTGTTCATTACAACATATTTCTGTAGCCCAGCCTCACAGTTGGAATGCACGGCAGGCAGGGACTCTGGCTTTTACCCAGCATGCCTGAACAGGTAGTGTTGGGAAGTAACGGTTGAGCCTGACTGTGTGCAGAGTAGACAGAGGCCGCTTTTGTTTGACAGCCAGAAAATGTGTGCACTAAAGTTGGTGTTTGGCTTATTGGACCAAAACGTTCCTTGACTGGAGAAATTATCCTCTGTTTTTTGTCTCCTTGCATTAAGTGTTTGAATACTGTAGCTGCTGGCATTGTCATGTGTGCCAATTATACCATTTTGAATTCATGCACTGCAGTTGGCATGATAAGTGCAAAACAAAGTTGAATCAGGTCGAGCAACTTTGTCAGCTCTGGTGAAGAGCTGAGATGTGGTGTCTTGTTTCATTCGATAACATGTTATGAAGCTTAGCTGAATTAACTTGCAGTGTTTCATTTAGACACAAACTATTGAACGCCTGTTTGCATATTCTGTAGCTGCTGAGGGATTAACTGCTGCTGACTTGATGATACAACGACTCCGCCCTATACTTCATGATCCATCCTAACAATCACTTAAAGCACAATTACAGATAGTATAGCCATGCATTAGCTTTCATCTGAGGAAAGCTGTTGAAGCCTTAAAGCTCACACTCAACAATACCAACAGCATTATAATGATGTGTGCACACTGGTGCACACCCAGAGGCATGTAAAACCACATGCTTGTGTGCTTGCAAATTAGGGACAGCTAAGGTAACGTATGTGGACAAAACCTTCCAGGTACTTACAACTATGACATTCAGCACCAATAAACCATTTATTATTCCTAAAAGTTAAATGAATCTTTTTAATGAATTTACCAGATGTGTTTAATATCTATACATTTTCAATAATGTAGGTATTGTACCTATGTATTTAGGTTTCACAATGTAAAGTGGTTAAAGTATTGTCTGTGGCAATTGATATTTGCAATATCTTGGATTCCAAGATACCTGTATCAGTTATTTTTAGTCTTATCTCTATTTTTTTGTATTAATGCTTTAAAGATATCTTCTATTTATTAATGAATACTTAAAGATATCTACACATAATCTACAATCTCTCTAAACAACACCTGCCTTTGCAGCCGGATCAAAACAAGCCCAATCATGTTATCCGCAGCAGTTGTATTTTGTTTATCAGTCACTGAATCAGCCACTTTTATCTCAACTTCCCAAGGCTTCTTGTTCATTCTGATTCTCTCTGTCTCAAGTCTTAATAGAGCACACTGAATGTGAGATCACATATATGCATGCACACAACAATAAAACATTGAAACTTGACTTTAAAAAAAAAAGGCAGCAACATAGTTATGCAAAACTCAAATATGAATGTAACACACAATAAAAACTTGGCATATAATTTGAAGTCAACACGTCATGTTAACAACAACATTTTACCATGAATGACAACATGCACAAAAAAATAATTGCCTTATGTTGGCACATGTCTGCCTTGTTTTTCTCAACACAATGACATGAGTCATGCCACAAGAAGAAACATCAATAGCAGATCAAGAGTAGTTCCCCACCCTTATAAAACAAACAACCACTTATGTGCAACCAAATGCACAACGCACCAAAGTATTCTTCAAAATGCCATCACATCACAAAAAGAAACCCGGCACTTGTATAATGGTGACTTGCCCAAACCAGTAAAGGCTGGGGAAAATAATTCAAAATGATACTTAAAGTGACTCATTACCACGACATTCCTCCAAGTGTTTGCTAAGGACTTCATGTTACAAGTAATGTACAACACGTCTTGCTGTATCAGGAATAATAAAGAAATACCCATCGTTCCTGCATCTCACATTCACCGATCAGCCAGCTCATTCAGATGGCATGTAATGAGTTCACATTGTGACACACCCTCATCTGATCAGCCAGAAAAGGTAGAGAGCCATAAAGGGGCACCATCAAGAGAATGACTCTACTGCTCGTCATGTACTCTGGACAACTGAATATAGCAATTTAAAATGTGCATACTGTAGTTCATCAAAATGTTTCATGACTGTTCTGAATCGCATTAAAGGAACACTGCCAGGGACCTTTTTAGTGGTGTAGTATTACTGCTCTACTTAGGTGAAATTAAGTCATTGTGTGCATGTGTGTGTGTGTGTTGTTACCGTTGTTACTGTGTCTGACACAGTCCTGCAGTACTGCGTGCCACTTCGTCTGCTCCTTCTCCGTCATCACACAGAAGTAGTGGTGGCGGGCGTACGGGTGCCACAGGATGAGGGGGAACTGGCTCGCACACTTGATAAAAGGATTACTCGCCACTTTGGCTTTGATATCTACAACATGATGGAAGAAGAATGAGAAACTTCAAGATTTAGAAAGTGCTTTACAGACAATAAAGAAAATACAAAAAGATAAAGCTATCATTGAAGGGCTCCTTCGACAAATAGCAATTGGATTATTTTGTTGGATTCCAGAATATACTGACACGGGATAACTTCCTTATTGACCCCTCAACTTTTAAAGCGTAATTGCAGTCTTTAAAGTAAAGTGCTAACATTAGGCCATACCCAAATTACTTGTCACCATCGCTAAGCTACAGGTGGTTAATGTTCGGTTTGATGACGTTGAGTAATCTCTTTAAGTCACTTGTTGGCAATCTCCATTTTCATGACACAAAGATGCTTCAGACAGTCATGGGTGGGGTCGTTTACTGACGCAAGTTATGTCGTAGATAAAAAGTCGACAATTCTTCAGCTCGTGTTAACCACGGATCCATTAAAAACCAATAGACATCAAACCAAGGGGACAGGAAGAGGTAAAATGCTAATATAAAAACCACTTTTAGTCATATATTGTAAAGAGAATACATGCATTATTTTCACCATCTGTCATTTCCTACCTGGCAGGCTGGTGTTAATCAGCTCCATGTATTCCTCCATCGAGGTCAGGGCCTTGTACCCAGCACAGTTGATAGATACTTTCGGGTGAAGGCCCCTGTCATGTGACTGTTGAAAAATGTGGCACAAGATATGCCAATCTATTTAAACACAACAGACCAAATCACCGAATGGGACAGATGTTTAGACGAGTAGGATTTGCACTCACTGTTTTGCTCTCATAGAGGCCAATGATGTAGCTATCGGGCACAGACACAAAGCGATTCCTCCACTTCCGACTCTCCTCCTGATACTGAAACAGACTCCCAGAGAAGATGGAGCGGCCTGCTAAGGGGTCCTGAAAAATCACAGAGACGCCAAGCACTTAAGCATAATGCTGTCATAGTTTCATCCATATTATTTTGTAATCTAACATTCTCTTTGTATTCTAGATCTCTTGAAACTATTCAGAAAGCCTGGAGTTTAGTTGGTGTTTAGTGTTTACGCTAGGCAACAAACCATCCACTTTGTTTTCTAAGATTTCCTGTCATGGATCAAATAATACTGTGACTTTGCTCCGAGAGGAAGGAGACAGAAACATAAAGAGTCTCTTGTGTTGTAGGAAATATTTGCTGCTGTTTGTTTGCTGGAAACGTTTTAATTATCTGTAGATATTGTGTGAATGAGTAGCAGGGTCACTTGTGCTTATCTCAGGGGCAGAGCAGAAAGAAGGCCATGATCTTTCATAATGTTATATGAATAAGATCACAGGGTAATACTATTTAAAATGTTTTTTTAAATATAGTATTTTACTATAATACAATAGTTTTAGTTTGTATTACTTTGTGTACTGAAAACATCCAGATTGTTTACACGGATGCAATCAGTTCAGACTGTTTTTCACTTGGATTTGATGCACCGAAAAGTTTGTTTTTCTGCATTGAGGTCACACAAATGCCTTTTAATAAAAACACAAAAAACGTTGAATAACAGAAAAAGGTGTACATGCAAATGAGCTGCATCCTTCTACACTACAGCAAGACATTAAAGGTTTACCTACAGATAAAATGGCCCATTACAAAAATGTCCTTGTGTCTATATATACAGTACAGTATATTTATTTGCAATCAGCGTTAATTCACATATGCATAATTTGTCACTTCTGCCGTAAGCACACACACAAGCAGCTGTCCTCTAACAGTGGAGAGCAGATGAATTGCAATAATAGCATTCCTAACAGCATCTCTGTTCATGTGTGAAATGTGCTCCACTTCCCCTTCACTGATTGAAAATGTGAACAAATGGGACCTTCAGTGCGGTTGCTTACCAAAAAGATGAGAGGAATACAAAAAGTGGTGGCGCAGACTTTCTTGTTAGGTAATGTGCCGTTACATACTGTAGACCCAATAATGAGCTTTGTGTAAAACATTAAGCTCTGTTTCTGTCTGTCACTAACAAAGCTTGCATTGATGAAAGTTTGTGTTGAGCATAAACTGCTAAGCTTAAGAGAGATTTAGGTGAGTTTATTATAATGCTGAGTAGCAAATATTGATAATTGGAACAACCCTTTTTTCATTACTTGATTTGCACATTAGGATACGAACATTTGTCCCTTACAGTAAGATGAATGTCACTGGTCCAGAGATGAAAGAGTTTGAAAATGCCAGTCACATACTTTCTTTTCTTTGTACGTCTTTTATCTATTCATTAAACAAAGATAAACCTCTCCTTTATAACTGATACAAAGCAGGTCTTGCCTTCCTGTGAAGCAGCTGCGACTGCGGTCCTCCTCCTCCTTCTATCTCATAGCGAACGCTGTTGAACAGAGCGACTGCGTACTGCTGCTTGTACACGTCACTGAAGTCTCTGATCACGCCTCCTGTCCGAGCTGCAGGAGGACACACAGACAGACACGAGATCAGAAACAAACGTACCAAACAAACGTATAAAGAATCATTTAAGATACAGTCCAGTCAAAAATGATGTTAGCTGTATTAAGATACAACTTGACAGAGTCCTTCTGCAGTGAAACCTCAAAAAGAAAGCTTGAATACAATTGTACAAGTTAATTTGGTTCAAACAACACAAGTCAGTAGAGAACATGAATCTCTAAGGATGGTTTTATCAACTCTAATTCTTTGTGGAATAGTAGCTATGTATATTTGAGGAGCTGCTCTTAAATTAGGTCTCTTCAAGTCAGACAGGCCACAACCTCCACTGCCGCTATCAGCACTTTATGAAAATTGGCATAGTAAAATGTGTGCAGCACTCAAAGAGATATGTATTATCAGCAATGTTCACTTTATATCATGACTGTCTGGTACAGCCCTGTCATTAGTGAAACTTTAGGGATGGAAAGCTTTTGCATAGTTAAAATACCACTGAGGTCAAGTTGTTCTAGACATACTCAAATGTTTTAAACCCAAGAATCCATGTTATTTTCACTGCACTATTCAGTCAAATAGAATTCATTCATTTTATACATATTTACACCCAAATGTAGCCTGAGCCTTAAAATATTTGCCATTAACAATCAGATATTGTTGGGTGTTGGGGACTAGTGGCGGGACAACAGTTTAAAGATTTCCCCTTAGTAGTTGTGATGAATATTTTCAGACATTTCATAGCCTCAACGATACATTGATCATGAAAAAGTTAGATACTAAAAAGTATCCTCCTATGGGTATGAAATAAGTGTTGGAAAAGAGTCTGTGTGTGTGTCTCAGTCAGCAGCAGACGGTGATGACTATGATCTGTTTAGGGAAGGGACAGCACAGGAAGAAGAGAGCCGGCATGCAGTGGGAGAGCAGGAAGGAAAGAGCTGACAGGATAGACCGGGAATGTGGAGGAGACGGGGACACAAACGTAAAAACACTGTGTCATTGCAGGAGGAGGTCAGTGAACGGGTTAGAGGAAACATAGAGGAAGATTGAGAGAAAGCTTATAGACCCCCTCCAAGAATTCACTGTTAAGGAGGGCTGGCTATTGAACCGTGATACTTTTTTGGTACCAACAAAAATGTGAACCGGATATTGTGAACTGGCACAAGATATGGATCTGGGCTAAGATATGGAACAGACTAACGGGGCTTCCATGTGTGCAGAGAGTTGGTACTTTCCACTGGTTGTCTTGTTGTGCCAAAGTCAGCAGACTGGATAATTGTACATGGACTGACTTTTTGGGCACTTTGAAAATGGGAACAAAGACCACATCATAAATCACACACTCAGTTCTCTGTTTTAACCTGTATAGCCATGGGAAAAAGTTCCATTATATCCCTCCATCTACCACAAAAGAGAACCTTAAAGAAAAGGAACACACCATCAATGAGAAGGTGCCCTCTTTCTTATTTTTGTATGTGAATTAATTAACACAAATGCAGACTTACAGGGCTAACAGGGCGGCTGTGGCTAAGTGGTTAGAGTGCTGGACTTCGAATCAGGGGGTAGCAAGTTCGAGTCCCACTGCAGTCAGCATGTCGTTGTGTCCCTGGGCAAGACACTTCACCCCAAATTGTTCCTGTGGGGATTGTCCACAGTACTGAATGTATGTAAGTCGCTTTGGATAAAAGCGTCTAACAAATGACATGTAATGTAATGTAACAGTACACCTTTGTTTTATATTTCATTTTCTACCAGTTGTCCAGAGGCCTGGTGTTCGTGTCTCAGCAAAGTAGTTTAGAAGTTCCCCTCTTTAACAACACTTTCCAGCACTTCCTGGGTCGTCCTGAGGCGTTCCCAAGATAGCTGAGATAAATAAACTTTCTAGCTTTATTCTGGGTCTACCCCAGGGTCTCCCAGCAGTTCCACTTCTCCTTATCTCTAATTTGAATCCAGCTTCCCTATGGAGAAAACTCTTTGAGGAGACCCAAAGCTCATGACCACAGTTGAGGGTTGAAAGTCACATCAAGTGCTAAACCGAAGCTTTTCTGTCTGGCTTAGCTCCTTCTTACCACAAGGCCTGCGTTACTGCTGATGCTGCACCAATCTGCCTCTCCAACCCATGCTTCATTTAACCCTATCAGAATATGCACAACATATGCAAAGTCCTTTACTTGGGGCAGCAACTCACTCCCAACTTAGAGGAAGCTATCTACCATTATCAGACAGAGAATCATGACCTCAGACTCAGAGGTTGTGACTCTCATCTCGACCACTTCACATCCGACTGCAAACCGCCCCATTGCATCATCAGATCACGGTCTGATAAAGCCAACAGAACCACTTCATCTGGAAGGACCAGAGAAGCAATTCACAGGTCCCAAAACTGGACACTCTCCTCCCCCCCGCCTTGAGATCCTATCTATGAAGATCACAAACAGAACTGGTGACAAGGGACAACCCTGGTGGAGCCCAACACCAACTGAAACATGTTCTGGGGGCTCAGACGCACGTTCAGTTCACCCTCACAAAACATTTTGGTTTACCAGGCGGTCTGTCCGACTTTACTGACTGGTTTCTGCGTTTGATTGATCTGCTTCTTTCTTGGCTCAAGTGTCAAAGACATACTACAGATCTGATGACGCAACTCATGGTTTTCTGGTACCATGTCATATGGTGTCGATCATCCTATGCTCGAACTGCAACAGCTGGCAAATAATTCCAAGAACAAAGCACCAGTCGGGATCAGGCCGTGGTTCCTACATGGGCTTAAAAGTCAACCAGGTGGCAGGCATGTGAGTGCTGACTACTGGTAGACTAGCTCGAGGGACGTGAACCAAGATTATTAGGGTCGGTTTATTTGATGATATATACCGTAAAACACTATAGAAAACTTTTACTGGCGGATATAGCAATCTTCTTTTAAAGTGGACCTATCATGCTATATTTGAATAATATAGTGTAGGACCATACCTATATAAGGCATATTTATACTTTTTTTTTTTCAAAATACCAAACAGATCATGCATTTCAGCCATGCCTCATTTTGCTCAATTTGACATTTTTTAGCTCTGTTTTTGCAAGGGCAGATTCAGTGAGAACAGCATCATCTACAGGCCTGGCATATGTACTACAGCGTCTCCAGCGCTTTCGAACGGCAATGGCCGTGGCTGTCTCCTCCTGATTGGTGGAGTTGGCCCAATAGCCGTAGCGCCACTGTCCTGACGTCAGGACAGTGTTCAAATCTGGATCAGTTTTTATCAGATCCGTTGCAGCCCCTTTTTTAGAGATTTGGGTATGGAGGAAAATAGAGAGGGTTGTGTTTTCTGACACTTGGTGAGTTCCCTGGAACACCGGGGACACATATTCATGTATAAAAGACGTACAAAAGTGCATTTTGCATGATAGGTCCCCTTTAAGCTATTAGCACAGAGAAGGATTTTAGCCAAAGGACTCTACTGTAAATGTTGTTTCAAAAAATCTTCATAAACGTTATTGATTGTTAGTAACCAATCAAATGCATGACTGAAGTATACTGTGTTGACACAACTGGCTCTTTTGCTTTCATCTAAAATGTGCAGTCTTGTTCTTTGACACTTAGTTAAGAAACATCTTCATTATGGTTTAATTCACTTGTAGACTTTAGACAAACAAGCGCACAAACTCTAAGTTGCGCATGTGTTGCGTGGGCTCATAAGGGAGGAGTACTTTGGTGGGAATGTTTGTGCAGCGAGGATGAAGAAATCACCTTGTTGGGAGGTACACTCTCCAAACAAGACTCCCAATGCAGGAACGCTGAGTCGCCTTTACTCACTTCCTTTCTCCCACACTCATACATTCATACCCCCTCATTTAAGGTCATGCTATTTGTTATGGTATTCGTGTGTACATGGCTGCACTCATGCATGACAAGAGCACAGATCTATAGATACTGTATATGTGTGTAGAAGAAGATGGTGTGTGAGATCCAGACAGCAGTTTGAGCTTTTGATCTTGTGACATGTTTCTACCCGCTTTACCTCTGCCGTTTCACTCATTATGTTGTCCTCCCCCTTCCCTCTGACTCAACTCTTCTTGTGTACTTTATTCTCAGCTAAACTCATAAGCAGAACATATTGCAAAATGTTTGGTATGCTGGCAGAACACTTCAACTGACTGGCTCTGTATACAGTTGTTCAGATTTTAGTCGTCTTATATTTTATATTTCCAAACTTTTAGACATGTTTTTGTCACTTTAGTCGGATCCATTTACTATTGAGGAATGGCAATAGCCAGTTGAAGCTTCAGAAAACCTTTTGAGATTACCTTTTCCCCCTCTCACTCTTTACAGGGCCTATAGTAAACTTTAAACCTTGTTAACAGCTCTTCTCATACTGAATCTGACAGGCTGCACATTCCTTGAGTTTTAGATGCCTACCTATAGTGAAAATGACGTCAAAGTCGTATTATAAGGCTGCAAAAAATTGATAATCTGTATTTATGAACTGTTTCATTAATTAAATAACTATTAACTATTTAGTCAATGTGAAAAAGTTGTGAAAAAATGCTCACCTCAAGAGCCAGCTTCTTACAATGTATTTTCTGTGAGTTTTTCTTTCTGATTTGTGAGTAACATCAATCAAACCCAGTGCCTGACCTCAAGAACATCACTTTTGGTTTTCCGGAAGAGGTTTCCTCATGCAAGCATGCGTGCCTGCCTGCGTGCAAGCATGTAGGCACGCATGCATACTCACAAAACACAATTACAACCATAAAGAGATATCGAAAATGAGGCTGAAAACTAAAGTTCCTGCAAAGCACTCATTTGCTGGATCCAAACAGAAACCATAAAATCCAAACAAGCAAGGCTTATCACTTTTTTCCTGGGAACTTTTAAACGTGGGACCCATGCCAAACTACTTTTAGCTATCACACTCTATAATTTCAAGAATGCATACAGATTCATGGACGTGTTTCAGTTTCTGCTCCCATGCCTTGTTGAAATAACCACACAGACCTGCAGATCACAGTGGGAGGCTGGAGCAATCTGAGCCTTAAATAGCAGTCAGTCCAAAACTTATCCAAACAGGCTCCCCTCTGGGAAACCTACTTATTATCTCTCTGAGTAATAGGCCTGCAGCCAAGATGGGATTCATTCGAGGCAAACTGTTCAAGTAGAGCAGAGCAACAATGCACTGATATCAATGAGAAGCTTTGTCCTAGAAGGAAACGGGGAAAGGTGACACTTGCTGAGCGTGACTAAAAGAAAACTAAAAACCCTGCATGTATCAGAATTTAATTGAATGTATTTTAACACCACATACAGTATTAGGACATGTAATTAGTATAAAGTTGTATCCATGACACATGAGCTTCTTGACAAAAAAAGAGAGAAATAAATGTATTAATGATTTGAAGTTATATTTAACACATTTAATACTTTTGGATAACTTCAAAGACTTTGAAAAGTGTAATTTAAGACATTTTTTTAAGTGTTTTTTATATTACCCCTACTGGAGGATAAACACACTTTAGGACGTATTTTCAAACTTTTCTGAAAAGTCAGTTTTGGATAAGAATCAATAAACTTAGTAGTGTCTATAATAGTCCTTCAGTTATAGCTCCTTTCTCCCTTACCTGTTATCATCTCCCTCCTGCTCTCATCCAGGTGAGCAGACACCACGTCCCCCATGGTTACAGGAGAGCCTCACAGATCGCGCAAGTATCCGAGGTAAAATAGTTCTTCAAGTGGTCTCTCTAGTAGTCTCTAATATCCGCTGGTAAAATAACTTTCCTCCACGGCTGTGGCGCTGCTGCGTGTCTTCTCTCCCGTGTAAGGAGGGAGGGTTGCTGCGAGGTGACGACTCCCGCCGGTGAGGAGGAGGAGGAGGAAGAGGAGGAGGTGAACACTAGTCTGGTTCACAGCGGCAGGACACACCCTCTGGGAGTCATCACTGGTTCAACGTGTTCAGGCGGCCCTGCCAAGGGTGTGGCCAGATTCAACCAAGGGCTTATTGCAGTGTCTACATATTCAATATTTACCGTGCAATGCTCCGGTGCAGCCCGACTTCATTTAGCGTTCAATTTATCATTTAGGAATATCAGAATACCTTTAATCGTCCCACAGAGGGGAAATGTACATTGTTACAGGCTAGCACGTAAAGTGGCAAAGATAGCGTATTAATTAAGAGCATGCTAACAAATATGAAAGATAAACATAAAAGTTACATAATTATAATATGACAGCTTAAACCCAAACCTCTATATAGCTACTGTTTATAAAGACAACCCCTTAGAAATTAAACAAAAAACAGTTTTAAATTATGTATTTTTTACAATATAGATACCACTTTTGAAGCCCTTCGATGAATGTTTGCACTGTCAAAAGTTGCTTCTCGTTATGCCATCTGTTTGCGTTTCCTATAGAAAGAGCTATGCTGCCCCCTTGTGGACACTTTGTTTCTTCGCTATTCTTGAGGGGCCTGTATCCACTGCAGAAAACCTCACTTTACAACGAACCAGTCGTACAAATCATATGTAATTAATACATTGTTCGGATAAAAAAATAGTGCTCAAAGAACCGATAGGTGAGAAATAATTGAGCTTTTAATAGAAAACATGTACAACATTATCAGTGATTAATGCAGATTGAGTGGGAAAGTCAATAGGCTATCTCAAGCTGTAGCCTATTGTCGGTCAGGGAGTTTGGAGTTGTCGACAAATGTTTCCAATTATAAAACAATTATAATAATTGTCACTGTTGCTGGAACACTTTGTTCATAAATGAGTAGAACAAAATACAAGTAACATGTTCAATATTTTTCTAATTGACAGTTTGTTTCAGTAAATTGGATCTACCAAGCAGTGACAATATGAATTTCAACCTTACAATTTACAGTGCTGTGTTTTAAAAACAATTAACACCATACTTTAAACCAAACACATCACCACACATCAAACATAAAGACGGCTGTATATGTTTTAAATGCTATCCTACTATTATAAGGCATTGATTGAGTGGCATCTTTCTGGGGGTGTCTGAATAATACTAGGATTAACTAGTGACTCGAGAACAAATTGGTAATTATAAGACATTTAAGCTAATAAATCGCAGTTGTAGCTACACATCCAGCACCATCATGGGGGGGAGAGATGATGCGGAAGGATACGCAGTGACGTTTCCAACTGGAGGCTCCTCCGCAGCGCTGTGAGGTGAACACAGAGGAGAGAGATAGGGAGGAAGCAGAGGCTGAACACTCAGTCCTTCACTCGGCAGCATCATGGCACCTATCGGATTAAAGGCGGTGGTCGGCGAAAGTAAGAATTATTTCTTTAGTATTTTTTTCCTAATGTGTTGAGATGTGGCGCTGAGCTGTGCGCACAATTGCGGTTTGTGCGTGTCTCCAGGATGCGGATGTGTCAGCTAGTACATCTGGGTGGTGGTGGTGATGATGAAGATGAAGGTTGTGCTCTTGGTGTTCCATTGTATTTTATTGTAAACCACAGCCGTGCAGTGTGTGAGCTGATAACCAGTGGAGGCTGGTTTTATGTCACTGCAGTGAGGATGCGCATTTGTATTTCAAGCAGAGTAGACCTGAACATGGCTTTAACTGTGATTAGGCCACTGCTGAACGTAGGCATCTTGAACAAGAAGCATGCAGAAAGCCTGGAAGATAATGTAGCACACAAACGCCCTTTTTAAGCCCCAATCAGCGGTAATTTCAGGAATAATGTGCGCTGCGCTGGAGCTGCAACATAAACCGTGGTTCTGCCCGAATAGTGTTGTGTGATATACTGTAGACACTTCAGATGGCTAATTATAGCCAATAATGAAATGACTGCAGATTAACACACTCAATCCGTGGGATTCCCTAATATCAGCAGTGCCTCACCAATATGATTAAGCATGAATCGGCTGCGTAAAACACCCTTTCTGAGCTGAATCGCTCCTGAGCTGAGCCAACCTGCTGACAGCTCCGCTGCACATTAATGGCGGATTGTATCTAAGACGAGAAAGTTGCATTTAAAACGCCACATACGCAAGAAATTCCGCATTATCTGTACATGCGTGCCTGTCCAGAAACGCTCAGTGAGTGTCCTTTACTGGCGCTGCGCCACCGATCAAACCCAGCCTGTGTAATCCTGCATCATCAAGACACTCGACTGTCCAGCGATGATTTTTTTCACTTAGACTCATTTATTTAGGCTGATGCTCCAGCAGCCGCCTGATGCAGGCCTGAACATGGAGGCGCTCCTCTATTCTCCTCATCAGGGTCAGCTGGGTGCAAGTGGTCGTGGTAATGTCAGACAGGCCTGCTCAGTGAAGGAAAGGAGAAAGGAGAGCTCTTCATTGTAAATGTTATATCTCATACAACCCTAATGTCTTCTGTCATTTCATCACTGGCACGTTCACTTCTTTTTAACGTGCCCCATGGTGCAGGATTTCATATTTTTTGTCGATTTTTTTAATACAGGATCACGATTCTCTACATAATTTCCATATACCCAATGAGTACTAATGTCTTGCTTTTTGGAAGTAAGATGCCAAATCTTGAAATGTCCTACGTTGATCAGGATCAGTGATGCATTACATTAATCATGTGTCCTGCTGCAAATTCTTAGGCCCCCACCCCCAACCCATACACAGATACACATCCACCTCCTCTGTCCTAGAGAGCTCCAGTCTTTTTCTGCTGTGATATAATAGAGGGTGAAAAGGTTCGTGCTTTGGCTGGGAATCAGGCCTCCCACGTGGAGTAAGAAGTGAGCCTGCAGAACAAAATCCAAAAATGTGTATTCAATGTAATTCGTTAAGTACAATATAATATTTACAGTATAACAGATATAATGAAATACAGTTGTAATTGATGGTTTGTGAAAACGGTACAGTTAAGTTGGGCTGGGGGGATATGGATGGACAATTAATATAATACCATGCTATCTATACAAATAGTTTCCCATTAATAGACACAGTATTTGGAATACAGGTTATTTTATTGTAATGATATTCCATTGATAATACTGAATCACTGTCTAGCCCTGTTGTAGAGTTAGAATATCTTTAATAGGTGATTAGGGAATATGGTTTGGCCTAGTGTCCCGATGCACAATGATAAATACGCTCTAGGTATTGACAGATAAACCCCTTAAAATTAAATATTGACATTTTTCAGAAATAAACGTTTCCTCCCATATATTATACAAAAATAAATATAGCATATTTTACATGTAATCTAAGTTGATGTAGTTATCTTATTTTGCCCGATCAATGTGTACATTTCAAAAAGCATTGTATTCAATGTCCGCATATACCAATGGGCCATATGTCCATATCAATAACATCAGGCTTAATAACATGTTAACACCACTACAGAAAATACTTTGTGTTCTCTGCAGTTAGGTGGAACACATATTTGCGTAAATCAGTTTGGGCCAAAATGCCAAATATGAACAAATATTGGAATTTTACAACACAATTCCAATATTGTGCATCCCTTATAGTGACATATATCATGGTTGAGGTGAGAATTGGAATTCATGAGTCCAAATCTGCATTTTAATGACTTGAATCACTGGTACTTGCTATGTTATACGCCTACATTTCTTAAGACTGATTTTTATACAAAATGTATTTTCTGTGCACCTACAACATTACACAATACATCCACCACATGCCAACAATTCCTACATGTTCTACATTATGTCATTGTTTAGACTTAAAATTGGCAATTACATAACCTAGTTTTGTAAAACTAAAGGCAGCCACATGCAGGCTCTCTGTGTCGAGTGAACTGTCTTTTCTAGAACACCATAAACACTCCTGAATGTTTCCCAGTAGGTAAAGGCAGGCAACACCTGCGTTCTGTTTGGCTGAGGTGAAGCTGGGATGGGATTGGTGGAGGTGGGGGGGCCGAGAGGGAGGGCGGCACCATCATGGGTACGCTCTGCAGTGCATGTAGCAGCCAGGATGAAGGAGGGGGGATGGGCAGCAGCCGAGCTTCACCGTCCCCTTCCAGGACTGTATACTGTATGAGCATCAGTCCCAGAGAGCTACAGAAGGAGAGAAAAGCTATATATTTATAGAAAACAACTTATTAAAATAAGCCGTATGTTCTTAACATTCAGGAGGCAAACCCTTTACATGTAATGCTTATATGCTGATGTGCTGGATTTCATTAGTTTGTCCAGGTTTTCATGTTATTCTTTCCATAACTTGAATTTCTCACGAGGCCTTTTGTGAAATTGTTATGTTGACCCAGACAGGGAACAACCTGACATTGCAATAACATGGTCTCCTTTTCATTGAACGCACCTTTTTCTTATTTTTCTCCTTGTGGCGTTACATTACATTTGATTTATCTAACGTTATTATCCAAAGCGACATTCAATAAGTGCGTTCAACCGTGAAGATACAAACTCAAAAAAGCATGAATCTTGCTAGTGCATTAGCTTTCAAAAAAAGTACTAGAGCATTGGCTTCAAATAAGACAAACTGTGAAAGTGATATGTATATGTTTATTGGCCAAGATGCAGTAGAAACAATTGGGTTTACATTTTATTTATCAGTGGTTATCCAAAAAATGAAAGACATGTCCCTGCAACACTCAAACTGATATCGATGTTACTGTCTGTGAAATGTGTGGTCGGGCTAAACTGTTAGCATGTGTGAGGCTTGTTTTGTTTGCCAAAGTGTGATTTTATTCCAATGCCATGATTATAAACTATAACCATATGTCATATATCATGGTAATATTCATAGTGTAACAGGAATGACATTAGGATACTACCAATTTGTGCTGTTGTACAGTAGGAAGTGATGCGAGGCCTGTGCAGATGCCTATCGATTTGTACTGGTCATTGAATTTGAGTATTTCTTATAGTCTTGTCTCGTTGCTTTAGACTTTAGGATATTTAAGTTTTTGTCGCAGGGAATGACTCAAGGAAACCAATACCACTGTCATGACAATGCAAAAATTACAGAGTGAGAATAAGGGAATGGTTAGCCTAGCTGAGCATTTAGACTTTTAGCATGAGGTAGAAATCTACCCTGGTTCTGTCCAGTGTTCAATTTCTTGGTGAACAAAATCCAGGCGCAGTGACTATGCAGCTTCCAGAGTCTCGACATCGCAGTGAGGTGATGAGGTTTGTTCCTGTGGGGAGAACAAAATAAAATGTTGTAACTGATTGTATCGGCCGGGTAACCAGCTCTAGCCGGGTAGGGCGCAGATAGATTAGCTCCAAAATAACGTAGCCCCTAAAATCATAATTTTGTCTGTTTTTTTAAATGTAATTGAATGTACAAAACAAACAAGATTCATCGTTTTTTATCATATAATTAATCCATGCTAAACTTGTTTTACTACATCCTAATTCTAGCTACTTCACATACTGTACGTGCGTGAGACTGCTGTTGATTGATTGATTTCACTTTTGAAAAGGAAACAAATACTTGTATTTCCAGTAGAGCTGACAAATAGTTGACTCAACGGTTAGTTGAAAGAAAACTATTTTCAATTAAATAATTAATCAATGAATAGTCTCAAAATAATTTCTCATGCAAAAATACTATTTTCAGCTAATCAAATATGGAGATGTCCTGCTTTCTCAGTTTTATTAACTTATTAAACTGTATATCTTTGGACTGACAAAAAAAGCTTTTACATTTGTCTTGTTTGAGCTTTTATTGACCACAATGAATTGATTAATGATCTCCAATAAAGAGATAGTTCAACATTTAGGGAATAGGGCTGCAAATAAGGATTTTTGTAATTATCTGGTGGAATGTGATGAGTGGGTTGCTCAGTCATTTGGAAGTATCTGGAAGCAGGCGGGTGTGATTTATTCTTCCCTGCATGAGGCTTTTTAGGAAGAGAAGGAATGAGGACGGAGAAGGACACATGCATGCATTTTGTTGCACACACACACACACACACACACACACACAGCTTTCATCTGACCTTGGAAGCATCCCTGAACCAGAGCATCACACACAACTGCGTTCAGTCTCTGACGCAGTGCCTGCACCCCCCGGCCTCCTTTAAACACACACACACACACACACACACACACACACACACACACACACACACACACACACACACACACAAATACACATGCCTCCTGCATATACCGAGATAAATCCAATGCCGAAATGTCATGTCGCCGTGGTGACAAAGCATGAATGCCTGGCTGAAAGAGAGCTCTTTAAATTCAGGGTTACAGTGTCTCACAATCTTTATGAATTCCCCGTCTCTTTCACTGAGACAGAGTGCTGTGTCAGAGCGGGCAGACATCCCCCTCCTCCCACTCTCCTCAGC